AATTACGACTTGTTGTATTCTTGGAAATAGTCTGCAGGGATTTATGACCACAAGCTGAAGACGACTGCTGTGGAACAATGCAAATTTCAAAGATCAGACTGAAGTGTATGAGAACAGAACTTTCTTTATTACTATAATCTAGTTGTGAAATTGCTTCCAAAAAGGTCATAGTATTCAGGGTCTGGCTAAGGTGCTATCAATCCCTTTCTCAAAACTGCTTTCCATTATAGTCAGGAATGGTGTTTACTGACACCTTTCCCGTTCCTATGCATGCATGTGTGCATGTCTAGATCATATGGATTTCTTTCATGGTGCTGTGGCATTACTGTCTCTAATTGTATTAGATACCATGTCACCTACAGCAATGTCTTAATTGTCCACGCTCATAGAAACCTGGGAGAACTGGCCATCTAAGATGAGCTTCTAAAGCCAACAGACCAGGCAGTTGCTCTAGAAAGCAACTAGAATGATTTTTCTCTCTCTCTGCTTCCCAGGGAAATCAGACTCAGATCAAAAAAGGGTATTTTCATAAGTAATTCCCATTGAATGTATGAAAGTACTGCCATTTTATTAGGGAATGTTGAGAACCGTTCAGGAATGTAGGTACTTGAGGAATAAGCACCGGCCAAGGAGTGTGTTTCAGAACCTCGGTAGCAGCTAAATGTTTGACTGAAGGACCAAACATAAGTGCCTTTGTGCAGATCTATAATCTTGGATATTTTTTCAGCATTTTCTAAGAATACCTAAATAAAATATTATCTGAAAAATGCTGACTTGCATAAAAATTGGATTTCCCTTAACATCGAAATTTTACACTAACTACCTCAGCTTAAACACTTGTACTCATAAACCAGCAGTTTATGCACCTTTCTCACCAAAAATATTTGACAAAAGAAAAAAAAATGTGATGTATAATACAGAAGTGAAACTTCTGTAGTCTTAAGCTTATCCTCATAGCCAATGCATTGTTCTTCCTCTTTAACAAATTTTTTTTCAAATCACTCCTCAAACTCATTTATTTTTGCCTATCCAGTTTGTACGTTCTTCCTCCTCACCCCCTTCCCCCCCCCCCCTTATTTGTTTTCTTCGCCTGGTGTTATTCTTGGTATTTAAAATGCCAGAATGAATAGAGATCACTTAAAGCATAATATAGGTCAGACCATTTTATTTATTTTACACTTTTATTCTTACTTGTTATGTTTGTCTGGTGTGCTTTGTAAACTCTTTGGAACAGAGACCAGTTCTAATCTCTCTGCTGCTCTCATGATGTTTTGATTTAGTTCAAATTAACTGCAGTGGTCTTACTACTTATTTAAAGTAACATGAAATAAAAAATTATGCTTACTGTTACCGTTTCTGTCAGGCACCATTACTGTATTAAATGGTAACTTAAAAGTTTGCAAATGCGGACAGTCATTCAATTTTACTAGTGACAAAATTGTGCGTATGAGATAAAAATCAGGGTTATTCTACATGATTGTAGAGATGGATGAAAAAGTTGAGTTTAATTATTAACTACAGCTAAGGTATTTAATTAGGATATTTTCTTTTTACTGGCATCAACTTGCAAAAAATAGTGCTGAAATACATGAGAATCACAATAAAATATTATGCAAGTGTTTATACATGCTTTTCTTTTGCAATATTTCCATTTGCTTGCACATTTTCTCTTTCAACATTAGATTTAACTACTTGACTTTTAATACATTTCAGTCAGTCAATAAATACAGTATATAAGCATATTAAAATGGAGGGGTTTATAGACAGCATTTTCCTATTAAGAATTGTCAACAAAATCCTTGAAAATGAAATGAGCTGACAACTATAATCGGAGCAGATGCGTAAAGTACCATTATAGCACATTGTACCATCAATTATGTGTCAAGTGTGCTGCCAAATATTAAGTGTTCTGACCTTTGCTCTTAATAATAGAGGCAGACGCTGGGGACATGTGGAAGACAAATAATGTAATGCATGGAAAATCTATTATAGATTTGATTTTGTTAGTGGATATAGAGCCTATTTGGTATCCTGCCCCTCCCCTTGTAAGCTATAATTTTCTGAAAAACTGGACATACCATGTAGTGGAAAGCCATGTTATAAAAAACATACTTTGATATAAGTTAAATATAGTGAGAGAGCGCTTTTCATCAAGATTTACTACTTTATTTGTACTTGTATTTGTCATTTCCCCTGTTTGTCAGGAAATAATGTGGCAGAAGTGAAATGAAGCAAGCTTGTCTTTATTCACTATTCATTCTTGTATTTTTGTTATTTTGCTCAATATCATCTATCATCTTGTAGGGAGTGGCTAGTCAAAGGTTTAGTCAAAGCCTTTCTCCAGACTATAGCTTCTAATATTTTTAGGTGATCATGCAGGAGAACATTGATGATACGTAAAAATGACAAAAACAGTAGAATGGCCAACCAAAGGAGAGCGATAAATACTTATGAAGGGAGTGGTGGTGTTTTTTCTTCTTCTTTTTTTTTTTTTTTAAAAAAAAAGGCACAAAACCCAACCCCTTGACTTAAAAGAACAAAGAAAATAGAAAATGTGGGACAGAGAAACCTCCTTCCTCTGCAGGTGCTGATGGCACTGATTTCCTGCTTCCTTCTTGATGTAGAACATAGATCCCAGAATGTCTTGCTAGTAAAACGTTAAGCAATTTATCCAGGATTTCATGTGGAGTGCACTGTAACTGATTCATATGAAAACCAATGGACTGTTTACAGCTATCATAAAGCTTACTTTGGTCCTAAAAGTTGTGGACTTTCTCTTATCAAAACATTTGTTAATGTTATATTACTTTAAGACAATAAAACAATTATCTAGTATTCTTTCTTTGTTTTTAATTTAACATTACATTTGGGAATAACCAGCTTGGTCACTATAATTGCATCTACAAACAGTATTTCTTTCCAAACTTCACTAATCTGGGCTTGCATAAGATCAATGAAAAATTAGAGCTCCTCTGATTTGTAGTACGTTTTTGTTGATGTTACTTTTTTTGTGTCTTGTCATAAATTCTAAATAGGTGTAGAAGTCTGGATTTCCATTGCAAAACCATTTGGAGGTTTTAATTTTTATTTTTTTTTCAGTGTCCTATACTAAAAGCCAATGCACAATTGAGAAAGAGCAAAGAATTTGGAATAAAAGGTAGGGGCCAAGAGACCATATTTTTGTGAAATTAAGCAAAAATTGGGCAAAATCAAAAATGTTGCCAGACAATGATTGTATTTACAGAAGCAGTTGCATTCCTCTCTTAAAAGTTTAGAAACTTTTTAACAATCCTTAAATGATCTGATGCTTTTATTGTATGCAGGACACACTCTTCTAATCAGCCAGAACTTAAGATTTAGTTTGATGTTCATGTCAACAATAAAGTTTGACTGTTGTACACTTATGTTCCTTTAAACAGTTTGACACAGGTGAGAGTAATTTGCTGCACTTCAAAAATACATGCCTTTTGTAGACTTACAGTGAATATACTAGAAGAGATCATTGATCTGTGTGTCAAGGTAATACTGGAAACATACTGAAAAATCAACATATATTTTCTATTCTTTTTGTTTTTTTCCTGACTCTGGGTACTTCATATACTGTATTTGGTATACATGTCTGGATTTCCTTCTCCCTTTCTTGCTAAATCAGAAGAGGGGAGAGAACACAAGCCCTCTAGTGATCCAAGTTGGTTTTTCGTAGTATATTTCTAAGTTTGAATTGAAGCCATCTTTACAAGCAGACGGCTTTATTAAACTGAGCACAAAAGTAATTCAGATGTGATAATAATGATTCATTTTTAAAAAAAAGTAATTTTATATATCTACTACAGAAATTGTTTCCCTTTTGTTCATACTAAGGGAGCACTTCATGTCGTACGCAGTATTCTCTTTCCTTCCCATGGCACTCTGGCCCATGGAATATCCAGGAAGAAATGCTTTTGAAAACAATACTTTATTAAAGCCACTAATTTCTTCATGTTTTGACTTGTATTTATACATTTGATATGTGTATACCAAATTTGCTGTCCAGCTGGAAAGACATGACTTGATTTCCTGACCAGAGAGGATTTCATCAACGCAGATTATTCCTAACAAACATAACCTCTTTCCTGCTCCGTATATTAGATTCTTATCAACTAAGTAATTTTGAGTTTCAGTATTTATTTTTCTGATGATCTAGGCCTGTATGTTGACTATCTGAAACACCAGTTTTGTCTAGAGCGGGCTGCACAGGCTTTCAGGGGATCCATCAAAGGCTGGTGAACCTTTGGTTGGATTCTCTTTCCATGTCACCGCCGTGATCTGCTGGTGCCTCCTAGGATCAGCTAGGATGACTAAACACAGTTTCCATTCCTGTGCCTTTTATGTAATGGCCTGGTATCCAGCCTTGTGACAGGATATACATGCCCCCTCCACGCCATGACCTCCCGTGCCATGCGTGTTCCCGTCACGCGGGAGGCAGGCATCTGCGACGCTGGCATTTCCCGTGCTGGTGCAGCACCCTGCTTCCCGTTACTCAAGGGGCATGTGCTGCAGCGCTCCCAGTGAACTGCCCGGCAGGAAGGGGGCTGTTCAAACCCTGCTCTTACCGCCTCTTGAGAGAGATGAAAGCAAGCAGGCAGCGGCTGAATTAGTTGTTTTTTCAGCTTGGATTTTGCTCTGTGGCCCACTGATTGAGAACCTGTGTGGTGTCCTGCAAGGAGAACAGGGGAGCGAGATGCTCCGTGTTGTCAACAAATTTGAAGGCAAGGCCCCAAAGTACTGCTTGCTGGGTGGCTTGGGTTGGAGATGACCCTTTCTGTGGAGGCAAGGAATGAGATGAAATCCTGACTGAGCGCATTTCTGACACTGATAGCTTGATGGTTAAAATCTCCCAGGACAGAGTAGTCTGTCCGAACTGTGGTTAGCGAGGCTTTAGTGAAAACTTTTTTTTTTTTAATTTTTCATAACACTTTGATGTACAAAATGACTTTGAAATCTGCATTAGCTTTACAGAAATGAGTTCTGTGAAGCTGCCTTACTGTGGTGCTTCTCCTGGATTGGTGCCTGATAAGGACGCAGATGCGCCAGTGCGTGCCGTTTTGTACCCTTCTAGTTGTTTGTGAGACAAGGAGCAGTTTTGGTTCAGGTCAGCCTGTTCACAACCAGTCATTTTACTTGCCTAGTGTTCAAAATCACTTAATTGAAAGATTTTTTTCTTTTTTTCTTTTTTTTTGTTATAGTGGAGTTTGATAAAGAATCTTAAATTTCAAGTTCTATAGTTTCATATTTCTGCTTTTGGACACACGTTTTACATTGTTACAGCCTTGTTGTACTTGGATCGGGGTAAAAGTTTTGTAGTAACCTGTAGAGAGTCTGCAGCCAGTTGCTAGACTCTTTTTAGAAAGCGTACCTCTATATTTTGTGTATCATACTGCCATCTAAGGGCCACGTAGGCTGAGAAGGTGGCTAAAGGTTCTTCAATGCTTTTCTTTCTCCTTGCTGCCTTTCCCTTTGGGAAGTCAGCAATTCATGGATGCGAGGGGGTGGGCAGGGAATAAGAGCAGTCCTTTGATGCAATATGTTGTTTCATCTAAGAGGATGGAGGAATCTCCCAGATAAGTGAGGAATCAGAATGCAAATCTGAGTTGTAGTCTTTTAGGAAAATGCAACTCCAATGAGTTTGTGTAAAAGCCAGCAAATAAGAAAGTGCAAGTACAGGATTTGAGGCTACTCTTCGAAACAACAAATTAAGGAGTATAGTGCTTAGAGTCCTTGTCCAGGTTTTGGCTGGGATAGAGTTAATTTTCTTCCTAGTAGCTGGTATAGTGCTGTGTTTTGGATTGAGGATGAGAAGAATGCTGATAACACACTGATGGTTTAGGTGTTGCTGAGTAGTGCTTACGCTAGTCAAGGCCTTTTCAGCTTCCCATGCTCTGCCAGGTGCACAAGAAACTGGGAAGGGGGCACAGCCAGGATAGTTGATCCAAACTGACCAAAGGGCTATTCCATACCATATGACATCATGCTCAGTATAGAAACTGGGGGGGGTTGGCCAGGGAGCAGGGATCGCTGCCTGGGGACAGGCTGGGCATCGGTCAGTGGCTGGTGAGCAATTGCATTGTGCATCACTTGTTTTGTATATTCTTTTTTTTAATTACTATTATTATTTTCTCTTCCTCTGCTGTCCTATTAAACTGTCTTTATCTCAAGCCATGGATTTTTTTTTTTTTTTTCTGGTTCTCTCCCCCATCCCACCAGGGAGGGCAGGGTGAGCAAGTGGCTGTGTGGTGCTTAGTTGTTGACTAGGGTTAAACCACAACAGTCCTTGAAGAGTTTCAGCTGAAACTCTTAGCAGTGAGGGAGCATGCCGTTCAGATCCTTAAAGGTACCAATGTGCTTGACTCCTATTGATTTAAGGATTAGTGCTTTATAATAGAATTTGCTTATTAAGATTTTCCCTAAAAAGGTAGAAAATCACCTGAATTATTTTCTTACTTTTTCTAATTTTTGCATTTCTGGGTGTTTTCATTTTCCTGGACTAAGGGAAGATGGCCAAAAATGTGGTGTTACTTTAAGGGTATATGATCTTAAATACTGTGAACATCATTTAAATATTTTGGGGTTTAGGCATGCAAAATTTTATCACAAAAACTTTTCTTTCCAAGATAAAAATGCAATTTTTTTTTTAATCTGCAAACTGTACTTGCATAGGCTTAATTCTATAGCTCCTTTCTCACACAGATATTTTGAGTGACAAATATGATAAAGAAACAGTGGCACAAGCAAAACATTTCAGTATTTGTCAATATAGTACTGTTGGCATTGACTGACAAAAGCAGTTTTTTGTAATGAGGACCCCTTTGAGCACAACTTTATTTTACAATTTCTGAGTTGTTTTTCAAGCTAGTTTCCAGCAAACCTTGTGTAATAGAGAAAGTAATTAATTTTGCACGTTACTTTGACAGGCTCATGCAAGCAAAGACCTGGAAGAGCAGTTGCGGTCTGTGTCCAGTGTGGATGAACTCATGACAGTACTTTACCCAGAATACTGGAAAATGTTCAAATGTCAATTGAGGAAAGGAGGTTGGCAACACAACAGGGAACACTCCAGCTTTGACACAAGATCAGATGATTCACTGAAATTTGCCGCAGCACACTATAATGCAGAGATCCTGAAAAGTAAGTACAGGACACAAAACACGTTCTAACACAAAATAAAATCCAAAGGCTTGTCTGTTGTGTCAAAATATTTTAAAAGCTAAGCATTATCACTAAACCACCCTCAGCAGTTTGATTTGATGTAATGGCTATAAAATAAAATGGCTATAAAATAAAATCTTTAACAGTCAACCTTTCCATAATAAAAGAAACTGCTCCGCAGATGTATTTTTGGTACATCCATTGTAAGAAAGGTATAGACTGCTTGCTTGGCTCAGTAGATACAGGAAGTTGAGTGTTTGTCTTCAGGTATAAAGGAATCCTGCTTTGTAGAGGCTGTAACGATTTTGCAGAAAGCAAAGAGGGCACTAACAGTTGGATTCATCGAACTGTTTCTGCTCATTTTCTGCAATTACGTCACGACTGGTAATGCTTTCTTCTCTTATGTGTTACTGCTTTAGGAGACCAAATAATCCACTTGTAACTTTTTCCTGTTACAAGAGGGCAGTTGTCATGATGTTATGCTCAAACCAGAAAAAAACAGCTTTCAAACAAATATGTCAATGCCCCTTAGTGTTTCAGATAGCCTGGATAAAAATATAATTAGCTTACAGTTTAAGCAAGTGCTTGCAGGCAGAGAAACACCGGATTTATAGCAGGAGATGTATTTTTTGACATGATATTGGAAATCATGCACCTTAATGGAGACTTTAAGATATACATTAGCTGAAATTTCCATTTTTGCTGAATAGCCTGCCAAAAACTGGTTCCAAGAGAGAATAAAGGGGCCTGTACTGCTGCAGGTCATGGCTGTTTAGTGTAAGATTGTATTCAGCAAAAGGCTGTGTAACATGATGTAAAGTGTTTGCCCAAATTTGTGTAGATAATCTGGGCACAAATACCACCTTTCAGACTAAATCATATGGTGTATATAATTGCTAAATAATAACCTTTTGCTTTATATTATACTCTGGTAGTTAACAAAGTAAACGTATTCAAATTATTTTCATGTTAAGTGCGTAGGCATCACATGTAATGTTTTTAGTATATAGTATCCAAGCAAAGCACTGTGTGGGACCAGTTAAAATTAATTTGCAGAGACGTGCAGTACTTCCTTAGACTCACTCAAGGTGACACTCACGCCAGGCATAGGGTAAAGGACATGTACAGCTTTAGCTGTGAATGCCTAAGATCTGCCCAACCTTGTTAGGTTCCCTCTTAGCTCCGCTGTGACTTTTCTTTTGCTCCATGACAATATGTCACATCCCTATGAAGAAGAAAAATTAGGTAGAAGTTAACACAGAGAGATGTGTATTTCACTGAGTAAAGGGTGTGACTCTAGCAATGCATATAGAGTCATAGAATCGTTTAGGTTGGAAAAGACCTTTAAGATCATCCAGTCCAACCATTAACCTAACACTACCAAGTCCACCACTAAACCAGTTAAGGGTAGAGTAGCAATTTCATGTTTCCTGGCTTGGTGGCTGGATTATTTTTCTGGTTCTAAACTTTAAGAAAAAAAAAAAAATCCTACTAATTTACTGCAGGAGAGTATTGTTTTTAAACAGTTACTTTATAACACATTAAATTCCCTGTAACTTGGCAGGTATTGATACTGAATGGAGAAAAACTCAGTGCATGCCACGTGAAGTATGTGTGGATGTGGGAAAAGAGTTTGGAGCAACTACAAACACCTTCTTTAAACCCCCATGTGTATCCATCTACAGATGTGGAGGTTGCTGCAATAGCGAAGGACTCCAGTGTATGAATATCAGCACAAATTACATCAGCAAGACAGTAAGTTCTCACTCTTATTGCAGTCCAAGTGCTCCTTGCAAATCCATTTATGATCATGCATATTTTAAACCTTCTTATTGCTGCTACGAGGAAGGAAAAAAAATCAATTTCAGAATACATAGGAAAAAACAGCTGAAGAGACTACTGCCTGGAAGACAATGTTTAACCCTCTTTCCCCCAAAATATATTCTTTTTTTTTTAGTGGAAAAAAAATTACGATGTTCCATTCTCAGTTTCAAGATTATCCATGAAACTTAATTCTATCCTTTTTTTTGCTTCTACCATTTGCCTGCTGTACAAGGCGAGCACCCTCTGGAAAACTAGCCTGTAATTTTATTTGTGGAGACTGTTTTACGACACATGCAGACAGCATACATGTTGCAAATAAAGCCTTCTAGGAACTGAACTTTAGTGTATTAAGAGATACTAGTATAATGTACCTATTTGTTTTGTTTTAATGCATCTTCCTCAGGTGTATGTGCGGTTTTTATTCTTCAAGTTCAGGGCTAGTGATCAGGTTAGGAGTATGCAGAGATTATGCATTGAGCCTGTGAGCTGCCTTTAAAGCAAAAGCATACATGCATTATTCTTTTTTAAGTAGCTATAACAATTATCACATTATCTTGCAACAATATTTCTCTCAAAAATCATGTAAAAATAGTTACACTTCAAAATGTTTGTTAGGGTATTTTGCTTTTGTTACAGTACTTGGTAGGTTTTTTGTTTGTTGCAGGCTTTTTTGCTTTTTGCCTCATCTTTCTGATACTTTGAAGAAAACTCATTTTAGTGTAAATCTTGCTTCCTTTTTCAACTAGATTCATCTTGCTGAAGATGCAGTACATATTTATGAGGAAGATACACAACTGCAAAGCCAACTATAAAATCATAGCCCATGGAAATGTCATTCTTTTATTAATTTCTTAGTGCTCTGAGCCTTCTGGAGAGGGGATTAGGAAAAGGGGATATAAAGAAAACAGGAAAAAAACCTGATTTTTTAAAACACATTTTCTGTCCTCATTTCTCACCAAATCTGTCTGTCTGAAATGGTATATTCCACCAAGAATTTTCAATCCTAAGTGTGAGCTACTGGTAGACAGCCACAGAGCACAGGAATAATGTAACTCAGATAGCTTAAATGAGGAAAACTACAACGCTGGTTTTGTTCAAGCCCATAGTTATTCCCACAAACAGCTGTCCTAATTCTAGTTACTTGAAAGGTGCAAATATAATTTTCACGTTATAAGCAAAGAAATACGACCTTTTTTACCTTATTTCCTCCCCCCCGCCCCCTGCCATGTATTTATAAAGTTTAGCTTTCTTGAATGAAGGATGATCTAGTTACAGAGAGAGTTGTTGCATTTAGCACAGAGTTTCTGGTCTTCGAGCACCACGTCAGTTTGGAGTAAATAATCCCTTTCTATTCATCTTTCTGTTCATGTCTATTGAGTGAAGTAATTTTTTTTTGCCTAGTAGAAAATGTTTAGCCTAGTACTGACTTTCTTTTTTAAGTTCTTGATGTCGTTGGTGATGATATGATATAGGAGTAGTTAAAGATCTGAGAGACTGAAAAGGAAAATGTTAAAGGATTTATTAGAAAGAAGAAAGAGGCAATAACATTGTTTTGTTTTCTGACCTATTCTGTAAAAGCAAGCAATTTAATCTCTGAGTTTTCTATCTTGCTTCTGATTTCCAGTTTTATCTGGTCCTTGACAGAATGCAGTTTTAAAAAAAACCCTTAAAAAGGAAGAGAGCTATAGCTATATCTCTTCATCTGTCATCATCTCAAATCTTTTTAAAGTTATGTGACCACAGCTTACCCTATATCAGATGAGAATTAGGAAGAAAAAAGTATTGGATTCAAGACCCTTCTATGGAATTCAGGTACCCTACACACCTATTTTCACTACTGTTTTCCTTTTATTTGCTGAATGAAATAAGAACAAATGGTTAGTAACCAGGCATCTTTTGGTTTTTTCATAAGTCACCATTTTTGTAGCTTTATTTTTTGTGCATAAACTCTGTAAGATAAACTTCATACTGTTCACCCTGCAGAGAAAGTGCTTAATGGGAAATAAACTTTTCAGCTGGAGGTCTTACTGTGAGGGCAAGCTCTAGCATTAGTTCCAGACATTAAAATCTAAAGAAAGTTGATATCAGCTTTCATCAAAATTAATTAAAAAGAGCTAAGCACAGAAATTATTTTTATGGGGAGCAAGTCATTGATTGCCAGGAGAATGGACTAGGTCAGATGTTCCCAGATTGGCTTGTGGAACACTGTGGTGGTCCAGAGAGGGGTCAATAGTTCTCTAGTTCGGGCTGTGTTCCTCCTTTCTAGCTACTTAACTGTATTAAGAGAAAAACAGAACAGTATTCCGCTTTGCCTTTAATACCATTTTTTCCACAAAAACTGTTCCTGTAGTTGCTAAGGGGTGTTTATACAATCATGATTGGGATATGAGACAATTTCTTAAGATGTGGTACAAGGTCTTGGAAAACATTTGAGGACCTCCTAGGCTAGTTCATAAAATGCAGTAGATCTTTTTTTCTTCTTCATCTGTGACACCCCAATAGCCCAACTTTGTAAGTGGTGGCTTGTCTAATAAAGGTCTATGGGGAAAGGTGGTTGGTTGGTTTTTGGTTTTGTGATGTGGTTCTGCTGTTTTTTTCTCTAATTTGTTATTAATCAAATAGCTATTTTCTGTTTCCATGACGTCAGTAATTCAACAGCAGTTACAAAGAGTGGTGCAGCAACAGCCTGTCCCTCAGCTGTACTTTTGTATGACCCACCTATAGGTACTTGTTTTTAGATGAAGGGAAGCAGTGAGCAGATGTCAAAGAGCCATCCTATTCCATTCTTCCTCTGGGCTGGCAAGATGGACATTTTTTTGGCTGCTTTCAGATCATTTGATGTAAAGGTCCTAAATCTTCTTATTGCATGGTTACAGTAATAGTCCCTCAAGGGAAAACATCTTTCTAAGCAGTTTGAAATTAGATTTAGAGGAGCTTTTCTCACAGGAAACAAGCTAACAGCTTGAAATTGTTTGCCATATTTGAGATGTACATGGTGTTCCTTTACACAGTTTGGAGATGCATATGTCACAGGAATTTTCAGTTGATTTGAACTTTACCATTTATGCCTTTTCCCATGCATTTTTCTATGTGATTGTAATGATATAGTAGGTACTATTAATAGTGGGAGATATATCAGTATAAATTCCAAATGGTTTTTGTTAAAATTGCTGGAAAAAAAAAAGGTGATTAAAATATAAAAGGATAGGATAAGGAACCCAAGCATATTAAACATATATGAAATGTATTATATCAGATAAGTTCCTGTTGTATCACACATAAACCTTGAAATACTTTTTTTTTTTCAAAAAAGTTAGATAGTAAAATAAATAATGATGATGTACCATTTTTCAAATAGCTTATTTTCATTCTTCCCAGTTTAGAGTTTTGAAATCAAACAGTCTTACATCCTTAGCTTGAAAAATCTCTCTAGACACCTTGTGCTCTGTTACACCGGTTATATTTGGCCAGCCTTACTGACAATTTAGGAAGTGCAAAGATCACAAGTGATGGAAAGTGAGAGTCAGTCAAGTTAAGGGAAACTTGCCAAAATAAACTACAGTCCATCAGAATAACATAGTGTAGTTAATGTAAATTGGGGGACGGGGGACAGGGACATAAATCCTGTATTTGAAAAGTATCTAGAATTATAAGCTTCCCTCATCCTGATAGGAAAATAAGAGTTTTGATTATATTTCAGAAGTCAGTCATCATAATAATAATTTAATGTGTGCTGATACAATGGATATTGGCACATACGATGATAGCGCAGAAGAAATTAGCCCCTGAAGCAAAGAAATACTTTGTATAGAAATCGACAGTTTTTCTGGAAAGTATGGCGTGAAGTCCTTCTAGTCTGAAGAAGGAGCTATCAGTGCAGTGAATCAAAAATATATGCTTTCCTATGGATCAGTGAGAAGGAATAGATGGGAAATTTTTTTACAGGGTCTCTGATAGGTCATGCATTTGGAGATTCCTGTCTGCTGTTAGGGTTTGTTTGGGGTTTTTTGTTTGGTTTTTTTTTTTTAAAGGTTAAAATCATGCAGAGCTCTAGGTTGTGGACCGGACTCTGGTCCCACCCTTGTTTCTGTTCTCCACTCCAGCTCTATAAATGGCTAAAGGAGGAGCGCTGCCAGTGTGGGAACTGGAAAGAGCCTACTCCAGGGTGGTCTGCAGGACCACGCAGCTCTGGCCTGGAAGCTGGATAGCTGAAAAAAATAATAAGGTTGGGAAGAAGGGAGACTGCTGCACTTGGCATCATGGTAATTGCAGGTTGCGGAGTGCCAAAGGCCAAGTCTGCTTGGGTAGAGCAATTCAGAGACACCTTTGCCCCGTGTCCTCTTGCTGTGCGTCTCACCTGAGAAGTAGAGTATGCACTGATCTTCAAGGATTTAAAAAAATTATGTGTAAAAGAATGAAAATCCAGGAAAAAAAATTGTTTGTAGTTGCACACATGATTCTAAAAGTGATCTAATTACTCACTTACCTTTGTATTAGTCTGAAAAGTTCGTTAATTATATACCTGTCTGTACTGGGAGGCAGAAAATACAAGCATAAGAAGCTGACGTTCAGGTCTGTAGGATATGCTGCCTTTTAATTTTGGCTGGTGCAGTGGAATGAAGGTTAAGTATTAAGCCTAAAATACACTTTATTACAGATTGTGTAATCCAAATGTATGAAGAAAAATGACCTTCCTTCATTTTTGAAGATGAACATTTCACGTTTAGCTAGGCTGACAGACAGATATAAAGTCATCTTGATAATGGTGAGTGGGACAGAAAATACATATCCTTAAAAAATAATAATAAAAAACCAGTCCTGCAACCAAAACTTTTAAAAAAAGAAATCCATATAGTACGAATGGCTGTCATGGTTTTAGCACAAAATTTCTAAGCCATTTACTGTGCAAGGCTCTTGAATTTTTTCTTGAT